AGGGCGGGGGTCCTCGGCAGAGATTGTGAAAATGACCCCTAAAAGGGACCTCTATTGTGAGATGATGGGTGTGGCAGTGCTGAAATTTCAACCCTAAAAGGGACCAATCAATAACAGGTCATTTTGTTTTGGTTTACCGATTTTATATGTGTTTTTAAACAATCATCGAACACCGTCGGCTCGTATTGAGTTTATGACGACGTTGCCATTTTATGACTGCTTAGGGTCGCCGTATATACCCTAAAAGGGACCACAAAACTCAGTTGGTGTGAATTCTTGTCATGATCACCCTAAGCGGGACCAAAATACTGATTTCAAACCCTAAAAGGGTTCTGGGAATACAGGCTCCACCTCAACCCGGGAACGGTAAATTGTAAGCGCTATTGTACTTGCAACTTGCTTTCTTTCTGTCTTTGCGTAAGAGAATCTGCTGTCAAATAAAACAKCTGAATTCGAAAATGGAGTACTGTATGGTTTTCTTTTGAACTGAATTCATTTTAATGTTCTTTTGCAGACGGAGTTTGCTTTACCAGAACAGTACAAAACGAAATGGAATGGCAARACCTTTGTAACAATACCTGCCGATAATTAAATTAACACTGACTTGGACACTAAAATAGCCATAAATCTTGCACYGAGATTCACTGCTTATTTCAGCTGATTGTAATGGGTATCAAATAATGTCGAATCATTTTATGTATTTTTGCAATAAATCCCCAAATCGTGCAGAAATTCATAGCTAGTTCTGATAGCAATGTCAGCAAGAGTAATATTTTGTTAAAATAGAAAAGGAATTCCGAGTTTCTAAATCAAAAGGAAATAATCATAGTCACAAAAGTTGTTTTGAATTCTATGATGGTTTAGCACCTTGTTTTGATGTATTTTGTATGATTGTGTAAAATGCTTCACTCGCCTTAGATTCATGCTCATTTTCAAACTTTGGCCTGTCATATGTGGAATCTTTTTTGAACTATATGCAATGAAAAAATTACCCTTCGTAGTTCCCTGCATCAATTGTTTAGAGGTAACTATGCATTTGCTTATTTTCTTCTGGGGCTGTTTGTCAGAAGGGCCGTGAATAGGCTTAGCGCTGTACTCTGGACAAGTCATTATCCAGCCCATAATATCCATACAAAGGAGTGGATAAAAACTTTAAACGAGGGATAGAGTCATTTTCATCCGTCTGCGAAATAGGAATTGTACTATTAAATACTATTACCCCCTATTAGCTTTCAATAGTTTAACTTGACATGCGACAAACTAATTAGGCAAAAACGGTTTTGATTTTGCCTTTTGGTAGCCTACTACACCCTAAAATTGTCTCACAGATGGATGAAAATTACTCTAACTTTTTCCACATTTTGTACAACCAGCCTATAAGCCTCTTTTGTATAGTATTTTTTTACACGCTCACTGGTTGTCTTGTTTCGATGTAAAGGTATGGAGTGAATGACACAGACATGTTACTCAAATCTTTTGTTTTTCTGCTCATATGCATCAAATTCATAACTTGAAAGATTCCACTTTTTGACCTCAGGCCTCAAAATACCTGGCTTTGCATGGTTTGTAATATGTTTATTCACTGTAAATTGCCGACAATGTTCTGAACTACTATAACGACATTTGATGTAAGCAATATTCCTGTGCACCTTAAAGTTGATGAATAAATGTTTTTAGATTTTCATTGTCTTAAAATGGTACTTTTTTTAATACTGTAATGCATTGTTGGTCATTCAAAAGTAGTTTTCGTTGTTAGTTGTTAGACAATTGCAGGTGGTTAAAAACTTCAATAGAAGTTTTAAGTTGAAGGACTTTGGGGTCTCTGGGGATTTATTAGCCTGGTTCTCTGATTACTTAACAGGCCGTCGGCAACGAGTGGTCGTTGATGGGTGCTACGTCACAATGGGCCCCAGCTACTTCCGGGGTGCCTCAAGGGAGCCTCCTTGGACCTCTTTTGTTTACCCTATTCATTAATGATCTCCCTGAGAAAGCAGCTGATGGGGTAAGGTTGGCTTTGTATGCCGATGACACTAAGATATATAAGACAGTCGCTTCCATCGATGACTGCCTCTCCTTACAGCTTATGCAGAACTGGACACAAAGTAACAATTACATAAGCTTCAATGCATCTAAGTGTAAATCGCTTATTGTCACGCGGAAAAAGTCCCCCTCTAGGCACTTCACAGCTGGAACAGGTTTGCAAGGAAAAAGATCTAGGGATCACCATCACTAGTGATCTATCTTGGAACTGTCATATCCACACTGTTGATACGAACACATGCATAGCTTTTGACCGATCAGACAATCAGGCGCACACTCTCAAATCCCAACTAGGGTACGAACAAAGTCATGTTAAAAGGGCAAGTAGAGCATTTGCAACGGCGCGGCACCATGGTGGATTTTGCAAGTCACTATAGGAGAGATGTCGTTTAAAGACAGGCTTGTGCTACTTGATTTGTTGCCGCTTGCATTTGATTGAGAACTCAAAGATCTCGTATTTTTCTATAAATGCTTATATAAAGAAATAGATCTGGATGTACACAACTTTGTAAATTTTGTAACGCATGGGCGAACAAGAGCCTGTAAAAACTCCTTAATCTTAAAACGCCTTTTTGCAAAACAACATGGTTCGCCATTCACTATTTTGATGCTCAACTCCAACTCTTCAAAGGCGAAAATACATATGTTAGACTACGTCTCCCTGACATTTAGTTAATAGAACGATTTCGCGTGCGGCTTGTTCAATGCAAATGAGTATGTGGGCTAAAATAGCATGCAAATGAGAAGCAAACTCGTGGATTCATCATTGAAAACGGCTTTTATTAAATTACTTGTGTTGTTCAACTCTATTCTAGTAACAAAACAAAAATAGATGTACACTTTGCTGTATTACACAAATAAGCACACTATTTAATGAACGATAAGAACAATACAACATTTTTCTATTTACCATTGTATATAAAGTAGAAGGCTTAATACATGTGGCATTTCGCAGTTGAATATTAGATAACAGACAAACAAGTTAATTAAATGCTTTCAAAAAGAGAAACACGTCTTTCAGCTAGAAACGCTGCTAATTCAATACACACAGGCATAAACCACCGCTGATGTCTCCAAATACTTGAAATAGCCCGGTATGTTTTCATTTCCTTGAAAACATGTTCAACTTTGATTCTTCTGCTAGATAAGCGACGGTTAAATCGATGTGCTCTTCTTCTGTCTCGCCTATTCAACAGTCGCATTTGCTGAGCTCTAACCGCCGTAAGAAGGGGATGGGCACCAGGATAAGCCTTATCTGCAAGCAGTTTTGCTCCGTTTGGTAGGGATAATGGCTGTCCAGGTCCTACCGGTGTCATTAGACGATATGATGTCGCATCGTGTGTGCTTCCTAAAAACCCAGCATGCACGAAACGTAAATGTCCATTGTTATCGATAATTAGCTGTGTATTAAAGCANCATCAATCCACTGACCTGCATCTGCATAAACTTTGAGTTGGCTTTTGGTACAAGATATTTCTCAAATCCCGTCCCGGCCCAGTTAAGAAGCTGGCATCGATATCGGGATTTGTCCAAAGCAATGGTATTCACCGACAAGCATTCCTTGTTTTGTACGCACTTGAACCAACATTCTTCAATGCTTCTAGTTGTTTGGTGGGACAAAAGACTGCCAAGTTTATGGAAAAAATTCTCTTCTGCACTTAAATATACGTTTCCAAAGGAGATTTCTCCCTCTTTGTTGAGATACTTCATAGCTTGGGCACAAACAAGGGCAGAAAAACATGTCCAAATTATTAAAAAAGTAGCAGTGATTGTCATATCGAATGACTACGACTGCATCAAGTCACTTTTGTTTTCGCCTCAGTAAACTAAATGTTGATCAAACTTGTTTTCAATGATCATTGATGTGTTTAAGATTAAATATTCATACAACAATTAATAGTTTTTTATTGGTGGGAACTAGCGCCAAACTAGTGTGATCTCCGCCGGTGTTTCTAACCGGTGAAGTAACATACTGACGTTTCGGACGTTAATCCTTCGTCTTTACTCTTTACTCCGATGAAGGATTAACGTCCGAAACATCAGTAAGTTGCTTCACTCACTTTTTTACGGTGTTAAATTTATCTTTTTACAGAACAATTTTTTCTATTGTTTATTTTGGTGAATTTACGCCATTTTGGGAAGGCGTCAATTAATTCTTTAGAATTTCAGAAAGGTGGGAACTATCGGTAAACTAGTGTGAGCTGCGTCGGTGTTTCTAAAAAAAGCGGTTGTGTAAAAAGATAAGTTAAACACCGACGAATTAAACTCACGACGAAGGATTAACGTCCGAAGCGTCAGTAAGTTACCGGCTTCACCTACTTTTTTACGGTGTTTAATTTACGGAGTGTCTAAACGTCAGGCAGCCTGACGTTTAGTCCCAGGACTAAACATCAGGCAGCAATTTGTTTGTGTGAAAAATCGTCGGAAATAACCGTAATTTCCATTAATACATCGAGGGAAATGCACTAAAGACCGAAATAATACTGTTCGACAATTTTCAAACACAAGCACGGCATTTTGAGATTTTTCGACTGCTGAACGTTTAGTCCCATAACTAAACGTCAGGCAGTCGGCTTTTTTACAGTCGTCGGAACAACTGTAATTTCAATTAATAGTACAAGATAAATGGAATAAAGACCGAAATAAGGTCTTGGGCAAAATCTAGCAGGGGGAGGGGAGGTGGAAATTGAAAAGTGGGTACTGGGAATAGGGTGACCAACCATAGTGGGGAAGTGAAATTTTCTACTGATATTAGACGGGCAAAATATCGTGACCCTCCCCGTCCCCCTTCAACCATTACCAGAACAATTTATTATTGTCCCCTAGCATCCAGTGAATGGTGCAGGGCCTATAATTGGACCATTCTTTCTTCATTTTGAAGGGATAAGGGTTATGATATTTGATATGCAGTTGAAGGACATTTAATGCATCTATTGTTTACTTTATACATTTCGTTTGCACGTTACGTCATAGATCCCCAAAAAAATTAATTTAAACTTTATTTCCCATGAAATCGCGATCTTG